AGTACCTTTATCGGAATATGTTAGAATGGAGTTTATGAAGGTGAAATTTATATGCGCTTCAAAGCATCAATCACCTCTTAAGGATATTTGAAATTAAGTAACTTTAGGAGATAGGACTGTGTCACATGCGAATCAGTGAAGGTCTTTCATCGATACTCCAGTTGTCAGGACTAGTAGCGAAATTGTGTGCAGTGGAAACAAAATAGTGATAATCTCATATTCAACTCTTTCTGAAATGTTGACGTTCGGGTTTCAACTCGCAAAATAGATTTTTGCGTTGCGTCTTAATTTCTTTTTCAGAACGTACACGATCTCAAAATTCGTTGTTGTCATCAATGTCACTTTTCAAATCTATACTCTCATTCTCTTTCAAGAGTGTGCTTGCAATGATCCCAGCAAATAAAATGGCGCCAAGCCATTGATTAGATTTGAACTTCTTCCAACAATCGCTTTTATCGTTGATTTTGAGGGTACCAATCTGCCATCCAAAGTGCAGTGAAGTCGCTGTAAGAAAAACATTTCGCTGATCAACTTCGTATCCATGAGGCATTCTTACCAGCCAATGCAACATAGTACGGCCATGTTTGCTCCGCTAGATGACCGGTTAGAAAGAGACCTCCAACAGTAGCGGCACCAAAGCCGCTTAACCACAACTTAGTATTATCCCCAAAACGGAGTGCAGTAGACTTTACGCCTATCATTATATCATCTGTTTTGTCCTAAAATCAAATTTGAAGTCAATCAACAAAAGAGGACGGCAAACAAGCATGAAGGGGATGTCTCACATTGCATGCTGCACAACAAGTGGCTAAACAAGATGTAGAGAGATGAGGAGAGCGGTGCTGTTAGATGTCGAACATGTTATTAGAAATAAGCGTCGATTACTTTCAAGCACAAAAAAAAAACACTCCATATGGGTAGGTGCACGGGTTCTTGTGCAATTTTAAAGGTTAGGGATGGTAACCTGATGGGCGTAAATTGTATCGTAGAGAAGAGTCCACTGAAGGGCAGCTATGTAGAGGGCAATCGGTGTAGAGCTGAGCGATCCTTGTATCGCTGACCAGCCCAGTAGTGCACCCCAGTTGAACGTGAGCCCTGGAGCAAGAAACTGTGTGCAACAAATTCACAGCCATGAGTGGTTTGCAACGAAGGAACGACCACCTCACAATATTACACTCCAGGAAATTGACAAAGGTCTCATGCAATTCTGCAACGGAAGCACAGAGAACATAGCGCTCACCACTGTCATTAATAAAGTAGGGATATTGACCTTCTTGCCCAAATTAATAACAAGGACTGATTTTACGTTGAGGAGTTGCAAATGAAATACAACTCGAAGAGTACATTCTGGTCAAGTAACCCCACCTCAAGGAAAGGAATTTTGGAGGTATAAGATAGCATACTAACACTCCTAATACATGTTCGATGTACTGTTATAAAGGGGTATCAGGGATGATAGCAGTGGTGATTAACGTATGGCTCATATCCGAAACTAGATCTCGCTACTTCTTGCCTTCAAATAGCCCTGGTGGTCATGTTCTAATAAAAAAATGGAATTATGAATGTATAAGTAGGGGGAGCGAAGTGCATATACAAGTGCAAAAATCCCTTTCAGTTAGAGCTAGCATGAAAAAAGCATCAAGCAGTTCTAAGGCACCCAACAAGCTAACCCGATGTAAACAATGAAAGCAAAGACTGTCGCTCTAACAGTTTGGTAGCAGAAAAAAAGGCAATTGATGTCAGATACCGAAAGTTAGGGTTCCTTTAGATGGAGCATGAAATGAAATTTTGAGCTTGGAAAAAATAGTCAATTATATTGAGAGCATTTATGTTTAATAAGAAAATCTATGATTAATTGCCGTGCCAGCGTCATGATCGTATGCAACGTAAGAAAAAACTCTGCTTACCGTTCTTATATCAAGCAAGCGGCCGCTCAACATAACATCATCTGGGC